TTTTCTAGCAACTCCTGCACTGTGGGCACCGAGCATCGGCCTTGACATTGGCCAGAAAGGGCTCAGAAGACCCTCGGCTGCCCCTGGGGCCCGCTCTCTGCGGCCAAGCCATCTGGGACACGTGTCTTCCCCACCCTTCAATCCGCCGTGACTCCGCCTTCCTCCCAGCCCGGTTTCCTTCCCCTCTTCTCTTCCATCTTGCCACCTCACTCCCATCCTTTCCAGTTTCCGCCTCCCTTCTCCTCTCTCGTCCCCTCCCGGTCCCCCTCTGCTGACTGCTGCCTCCCCCCCACCTTCCCTGCGTGCTAATGGCCCGGTGGCAGGCGGCTCCGCGGCTGTTTCCGGGGGAGTTGAGTTTGCAGCCAGGGGAGATGCTGGAGCGATTGGGGAGGGGAGAATTATACACATAAATCTGGGATAATGACGGTGGTGCTAATGGGGCTGGCAGCCGCAACGCCGGAACCCCCCACCCCTCCCCACGCAAAGACCAGCCAGGGCTTCCAGGCTACAGTGAGGACCCATGGTCCCCGTTATCTTCCCGCATGGGCCACGCTGGGTATACCGGGTCCTGGCTAGTTTGGGACACCTCTGATGCATCTCCCCGCTGGATCTCAGTTCAATGTGCAGCTTGCCACTTGTCTGCCGTGCAGTCCAAGGGCAAGTAGGGACCAACAAAGGGAACGGTGGATTTTTCTGGGTCTCAGGCCCCCTCCCCCTAATACTCTACCACCACTCTGGATCCCCACATCTCTAGGTTTCCTGAGGTCACGCCACCCACAACAGGATTTCTTGCATACAACTGAATAGTCAGACTTGGATTTTCTTGCCTTTTCTTCCGTTTCGGAAATATGTGGCCTTGGACAAGTCACTTAACCCCTCTGAGATTCTGTTTCCTCTACGTTGAGGATGATAACAACCATCTGCAAAAAGAACGTGAATTCACGCGCTTCTGTGGCCTCTACCCCAGTCCTGCCCCCGTCATGGCTCACCTGGATTACTGTGGTTAGGTTGCCTCTGCCTTGAACTCCTTCCTTCTGCCTTCACCCCTCTCAGGGCTGAGTATTCAGGATGCTGCGATCCATCCATTCCTATGGCTCTTAGATTCAATCCAGATCCCTCACTCAGCCTCTTCTGGACCCCTCTCCCCATTGCTTACTCCACTCCAGAGCCACTGAGCCTTTCCACAAGCTGTTCCCTCCTCTGGGAACACCTTTCCCCCTAGATCTCACATGGCTGGTTCTACCTCCCTTCTTGAAGCCCCTGCTCCATGTCACTTCCATGGGCTCTTCCCCACCACCCCTGGTCACTTTCCATCCACCACCTTTCCAACACTTCCCACCTTCTGTATTGCCTTGTTTTCTTTGTTTTGGTTTTTGTGGGGGGAGGTAATTAGGTTTATTTATTTATTATTCAGTTTAACATCGTGCATACTAAGCATGTGCTCTACCGCTGAGCTATACCCTCACCCCCTGATATTGCCTTGTTTTTGTGTCATGTTTGCTGCCTGCCTCACCACTCCCCACTGGAAGACAATCTCTTTTTAGACCCTGATTCTTGTTCTCAGTGTGTCCCACAATATCTGGTATCTATTTGCAAATATGTGTTGAGTAAGTGGACTCAATAATTGAGTGTTGTGACTATGTAAGGGTATGTCTGATGTAAAGTCCTTGGCATATCACAGGTATTCAATAAACCAGGGCACCTGCCTTCTTCGTGAGGTTGGAACCTAAAAAGGATAATCTGGCTGCATGCTCTGTGGCCATTCCCAGTCCAAAACCTGGGGAGATAATTTGCAGTAGGACATATTCCCTCAGAAGGAAAATGTTTGCAATATATCTGACAGGTATATCTGACAAAGGACTCATATCCAGAGTATATAAAGAGCACTTACAAGTCAATAAGAAAAAGACAGCCAAATTTATAGAATGATAGAAGACTTGGACAGTTATCAAAATGACCAATAAGCACATGAAAAAAAAATGCTCAGTGTTATCAGTCATCAGAGAAATGCAAATAAAACCACAATAAACTATCAGACACACCCACCAGAATGGCTAAAGTGAAAGGATGCTGATACCAGGTGTTGCCAGGAGCAACTGGAACTTGTATGTTCTGCTGGTGGGAACGTAAAATGGTACAGCCACTTTGGAAAACTGGCAATATTTCCTAAAACTACACATAGACCTGCCTTATGACCCAGCAGTTCCAATCCTGGGTATTTATTTACCCAACAGAGAACATGAACTTGTGTTCCCCAAAAGTCACATACAAGAATGTTCATAGCAGCTTTAATCACAGTAACCAATCACTGAAAACAATTCAAATCTCCATCAACAGCAGAGTATGTAAACAAATTGTGATTCATCCCTACAGTGGAATACTACACAACAAAGAAAAAGAACAGGCTAATAAAACTTGCAACAGCAAGGATGAGTCCCAGAGGTTTAATGTAACATGAAAGACACCAGACACAGAAGAGGACACACTGGATGGTTCCATTTATATGAAATTCAAGGACAGACAAAACTAATCTGTGATGACAGAGTCAGATTGGGGAATACTGACTTCTAGGAGAGAACACGAGGGAACTTTCTGGTGGGATGGACCTCTCTTGATCTGGGTGGTGGGTATACAGGTATATAACATGCAAAAATTCATTGAGCTGAAACTTAAAATCTGAGCCCTTTACCATATGCAAATTATACCTCTTTCAAAGGAAAAAAAATAAAAGGGAAAAACAGAAAAGAAAACATCCCCTAGAGCAGTATGTGACCCAGATGCTGGGTCAGTCCTGACACTTCCCTCCTCAGAAGTTTCACAGCAGTCTTCCAGTGTGGACAAAAGTTGGAAAATTTAAGCAGCTGCCTCAGATTCAGGAGGGAAGTCCAAGGGTGGGAGTGCCCCTCCCCCATGTCCCTGCGGTGACTTGAGCCTCTAGTCTCCAATGGCCCTAGGTGGTCCAGTCTGAGGGCAAAGGGAAGCTCTTGAGGTCTCCTTTCTTCTACTTCCTCATTCTCTCCCATCCCAAGCTGTGGGTCCAGGCAACTCCTGTACCAGAAACTGTTAGTGAGTCTGGTTGCTATGGTAGCGGGGCTGTGAGGCCCCAGGAACCCACTGCTCAGCCTCCTTGTCCTTGCAGGGGGAGCTTTTCCCCCTTAACAGTGAAATGGGACAGGGAGGGTATAGCTCAGTGGTAGAGCGCATGCCTCACAAGCACAGGGTCCTGGATTCAATCCCCAGTACCTCCATTAAAATGAAGAAAGAAAGAAAAGCTAATTACCACCGGCCCCAAGAGTATACAGTGCTGTATGTCAATTATATCTCAATAAAATCTGGAAGAAAAAGATTTTTTTTCTAAGTGAAATGGGAGCCAAGAGAGGAGTACCCCTTCCCTCTGATCTTGAAGATGCTTCCCTCCCCTGTTTTGCCACAAAACTCCTCTAGTTTGGAGACGAGGGTCTGAGTGGAACACAGACAGTGGTTAAAAATGGAGAGGGAAGGGGTACACCTGATCCCTGGGTTTTACCAGCCCTTGTAGGTCCTAGAAAACCCCCTCAAGATGTATCATTTTTTTTCCAACCTTGACATCCTGTTTGTTCATCTGTTTTTGTTTTGTTTTTTCCTAAGGGAGATGGTGGGTGTAGGTAGAAAGGGCATTGCATTTGGAGTCAGAAGGAAAGAAAGGTCAAGGGTCCAGCAGCCTCACTGTGTGGCTTCAGCTCATTCCCTAACCTTTCTGTTTCCTCTTTTATGAAGTCAAGACAATAATTCTACTTTATAGCATTACTCTGAGGACTTAAATGGATTAACACACGAAAAGCGCTTAAAACAACTTCTATCATGAAATTGTCACTCGATTAATCTGTTATTGTTTTTATGTTCCCGGTCCTGTGCCAATCACTTTCACGTGTAATAATGTGTGTAACCTTCACAATGGCTTTGTAGGAGAGCCGTTATCATACCCATTTCATGGATTAGGTAACTGAGGCTCAAGTGCCCTCAAAGATGAGGGCATTCTCCAGGATCCCAGAAATTCTGGACCCTTGAACTATCCAAGCTTTCAGCTCAGATGTGAAATGGGCTGGTGGCTTCCCACTGAGGATACAGAGCAGGAAATACACTCAGTATGTACCCAAAGACAGTAAAGTTTGCCCACATTTCCAGCCTTAAGGAAATCCCTGTTGATTTTTAAGTGTTTATCCTTCTAGTCTTTCTCAGGGCAGGACTTTGTGTCAGGCAGAGCTGGGCGTAAGTCCCAGCCTGACTACTATATGCTATGTGATCTCGGGCAAGTTTCTTAACCTCTGTGAGCTTCAGTTTCCGCATCTATAAATGGGGTTATCATAGCACCCACTTCATTGGATTGCTGGGAGGTACAAATACCATGTCAGCTCTTATTATGTATATCAATAGTAGTTTTTCAAATAGCTATTCAGGCTTTCTGTAGCTAATGGGATGTCAGCCCTCCTTTATGTGGCAGAAACAAGTTCTGATCTCATTCCAATAGTCCTAAAACCTCACAAGGTTGTTCGTAGGCTGCCATGCTTTTCTGAGAACTTATATCTGTTTTTCTAGTTTTTCCATTGGCCCCCTCGCAAATCCAAGTCAATGCTAAAGTTATCTGAGCACAGGCACCATGCTAAACTCTTGACAGACATAATTTTCTGTAACCCTCATAGTAACCCATTTTATTGCAGGAGGAATCAAGGCACAGTTAGTAAGTGGTGCAGGCAGGGTTTCTTCTCATCTCTTGCCTTTGTCACTGTTGGTTTATCCACCTTGAGTAGCTCCCTGTGCCCATTTAACAGAAACAATTACTATGGTAGTTATTATTGTGTCTAAACTATGGGTAAATAGGCCATAAGTAAGGCCCACACCCATCAGTCCAATTCAACTACACAAAGATATATTGACCATGATATATTGACCAAGATATACATGCCAGACATCATGCTTCTCCAGACAAGATAAATGGGATCCCCATCTTTCTGGAGCTCACAGCTGATGCATAGACTTTGTGGAATGTGCCTCAGTGTATAGATGCTTTTTCCTTGCATTGGGATGCTCAGTTGAGTTCCAGATGGTTAAAGGTGCCAGAAAAATGATGGGGGACAATATGGTGGTGTTATGGGTGTTACTTTGTCTAGGAGTTGGGGCAGGTCACAGGGTGGGGAGGGGGCAGGTCACAGGGTGGGGAGAGAGCAGAAGAAACTGTAGTCCTGAAGGGTGAGGGCCCAAGCTTTGGACCCCAAAGGCCTGGATTTGAATCCCAGATTCATCTTTAAAGAAAAAAATTTTTATTGTAGTATAGTCAGTTTAAAATGCATCAATTTCTGGTGTGCAGCATCATGTTTCAGTAACACATATACATACATAGATTTGTTTTCAGATTCTTTTTCATGATAGGTTACTACAAGATATTGAATATAGTTCCCTGTGCTAGACAGAAGAAACTTGTTGATCTATTTTATATCCAGATTCCCCATTTACTTATGATGTGACCTGGGACAGGCGGCATTATTTTTCTGGGCCTGGGTTTCTCCATCGGAGAAGTAGACCTGGTGAGAGCAGCCTGCTTCCCAGAATTGTGGTGAGAGCTATGCAGCTAACTAAAGCTTAGCGGCACACAGCAAGCACTCAATAAATGACAGTGACTATTTCAATGATTCCTCCAGACTCCCAGGGGAGTCGCCAGAAGAGAACCCAGATTCTAACCCTGCAGGGCTGGTGTGGAGGAGGAAGAGGGAGCCAGGACTCCAGCCCCAGCTTTGGAGGGACTGCTGGGTACAGGGCGGGGGTGGGGGGTGGGGGGCTCTGGCCCAACCCCAGCAAGCCTGTTAATTACCTCTCAGGGTCACGGGTCTTAAGGAGCCCCTCTGAGGGGATCTTGGAGCAGCCCTCTGAATATTGATCTCATCTAATCTCTCAGCAGGCGGGCGGGTCTCTAAATCCTCCTTAACTCTCCTTTCCTGCCCTTTCTGGGCGGGGAGCCCCAGGCAGGGTTTAACTCACAGGAATGAGGGCTGGGAAGCAGAACGCTCTGTGGGATTTCTCGGCCCCCCGGTAACAGAGGAGGGGCAGTGTGTGGTGGGTACACGGGGACATCCCCCTGGGGAGGGAGGCCAGGCTGGCACTCCTTCCCCGCTGCCTGCCAGAGCTCCAGGACACCACTGCCCATTTCTCTCCCCTATTTGGGAATCTGCCATTGTGGCTATGGAACCCAGGTCCCTGGCCCCTCCTGGCCAGGCCGGCCTTGGCCTCCCACCGATCCCACTAGAGCTAGATGAGGATTTGGGAGCTGGCAAGAAGCCAAAGCTGCGGGAGGAAGCCGCCTGGCCTGGGGCCTGGCTGGACTCTGCTGGGGGAATTAGGCTGCGTCCATGGAGGACACCTGGACTTTCGTTCGAGTTGCCAGTGCTTTGGGGGCCCTTGTGACGTTGATCATTCCGGGCAGGGGGTGAAGAGTTCCCTGGGTTCCTGGGAGGCCTCGGTTCCCACCTTTGAAGAGCTCTCTGGCTGGGTGATGGGGAAACCGGGAGCTCTGCAGGGCTGCCTGCTCCCATGGGCTGGGTCAAGGGGAAAGTGTGCTTGTGGGAGGTGGGTGGGACAGGTGGGGAGCACATGGGGGGCACAGAGGCAGCCTCAGAGAGGCCACTGGGTGACATTTTGAAAATCTCTAAAGACAGAGCAGCCTGGGTTTGAATCCTGCCTCCATCACTTCCTGTCATTCCCACACTAGAGCATTGAATTATGCACGAAATTTCCAAACTCTTATTTCCTTCTGGCGTGACAGCCAACAATGATTCAGAACATTCCAGAATGCAAATGCTTCACTAGTGACTGTGATGAGTAAAGCCTCCCCCCAGTAACCCCAAAGGGATGTGAAGCATGAGTGAGAACTAAACTTTGTGACTTTCAGCCACTGAGATGTTAGGTTTCTTTGTTTCTGCAGCCCAACCTGGTCCCTACTAACCAGTAGAAATTACACACCCATTTTACAGATGGGAAAACTGAGACACAGGTACTCAGCCCTCAGGCACCCAGCTAGTGACTCTGACAGAGTCAGAGTTAGAATCTAGGCAGTCTGATTCCAGAGTCTCTGCTCTTATTTCTAAATTCTTTCTCTGGGTGAGACACAGTCATCCTGGGAGCCTGGAATGTATGGAAAATTCATAAACTGCAGTGGATTCTGAGTGTGGTGGGTTTCTCCTATCCTGTTTCCTCTGACTGGGGCTCTTCTTGTTTGTGGCTTTTCATTTCTTTCTCTTTTTAAAAATTTTTTGTGGGGAGGTAATTAGGTATACTTATTTATTTTTTTAGGGGAGGTACTGGGGATTGAACCCAGGAACTCACACAAGCTGAGCATGAGCTCTACCATTTCAGTTATACCCTCCCCCCTCATTTCTTTTTCTCTTGAGCACTGGCTTTCCTGGAAGGTTTTTCTCTATCATGTCCTCTGGGGGAGACACAAAAGGCTGAATGACCAGGAAACTTTCTCCTCCCGCAATCCTCACTTAGAAAGTTTGATTTATTCATTGCAGCCTTGACCTTCTGAGAGACCAGTCCCTCAAGTCCTTGCAGACCTCCACCCCATTTCCCAGCTCCTCTGACACCCTCCTTGTAGGAGTCCCAACCCCTCCTCCACTGCTGCCTCTAAGAGCCAGAGGTCAAATATAACAAGGGAGGAAAACCCCCAGGCCAGACAGCGGAGCCCTGACCTGAGGTTCCAGAAATGTCTTTTCACCTCTTCACCCCAGGCTGCTTCCTTTCATCTTCCAGGGTCTCTGAGGTCCCCCTGCTGTCTCCAGAGAGCCAAAACCATGCCCCTTACCTGCCCTCGCTGGTTCCCAGGGAAAACTAGCCAGGCAGGGCTCAGGACGCCTCCACGCAAACCTCAGCAACTCCTGCCCTGACCAGTTAACTTGACACTTACTCTACATTAAATACCAATTGGGCCAATTTTCTGCTGTAATTAAAACCTCTGCAGATGTGTTCCCTGCTCCTCAGTGATGAGTTTATTAACCTCCAGCTCTGAAGAAATGTGGGGCAGGGAGGAGAGAAGGACAGAATAGGGCTTGCTCTGGGACAGGGAGAGTGGATGCTGGGAGAGCCTGGGTTGGGAACAATCCAGTCGTCTTCTCTGGTGCCAGGCAGGGGGCAGGTGGCCATGTTTACAAAAGTTTCAGCAGCTCTGGGTTTGCTGCTTCTACTGTGGGAGACTCAGAAATATCTGCCCTGTCACGCTGAC